TATCATTAATTCTACACATATATCTTTTTGTTTCCTTCCTTTCTTTACTAATTTTTATTTATGAATATTCAAACATTGCCCACAGCATAATTTCATCAAACACTATAAAGGCTTCTTGGCTTACTTCCTGTCCAAAGATTAACAGAATGACTCATTTCTGTCTTAATTACTAACGGTATACCTAAATGTAATCACTGTTCTTATCTTGCAATCAATAAGAGATACTCAACGATTCCAACAATATGTTATGATTCATTTGCCATCTTTCAAAATTGCTAAAATGTGTATTTTCGATCGATTAACAACGCGCAAAAGTCTCAAACTGCTATCTTTTGAAGTTACAAAAAGGTGAAATTCTTGATCAATCAATAATGCGTAAATGTTTACTGCCTTTTTTCAAAGTTGCATAAGTAATTGTAATCTTCCAGTAATTCAAAATGTCCACCGATAATTATTAAAGCTTACTGAGCTGTACTGTTAGTATGATATCATCTATTTATCATTAAGAGTTGCAAAAATGTATTTTTGATTAGCTAATGATGGGCAAATATATTAGTGTTATCTTTTAACACTGCAAAAATGTGCAATTGTAATCAGCTATATGACGCGCAAATATCCATCAATGATCACTTGATGTTGTTCAACTGTTGATTTGTAATTGATTATTAATGAGCAAATACAGTATACATCCAAACTTGGCATTTTGACCACACACGATGGTACCACTTACAACGTTATAGTAGTTGTTGCTACTAGTTGAGAGATCGTAACAATGACTCACTCCTCTATTCATCACATTTTTTTTTAATACCTTTGCGCCTCCTTTCTTGCTGTGCTATTTACCTTTTTTTTTTAACTCCAAGTTGTTTAACGAATCGCATATCCTTTGTGACATTTATCCCTTCGTGTAATCATAATTACAAAAAGTTCTGATGATTACTTACTTTTTAAAAAAGAAAAGAGTACTATGAACTATAACCGTAAAAGTTCACGTGACGGAACAAAAAGCACTCAATGTCGCTAAAATTATTGTCACAAAGAAAAAGAAAAGGTCAAATTCTGTCAGTTTGCACTGCTATGCATTGCTTTTATCCAAGGACCAATAGTTCATATTTGTGGTTCCCTATAAGCAACAAATTATTATCCTGACAGAAATCTATTCAAATACTGGTTAATTGATTCCATTCACAACAGTATATCGGAAAAAAGATGGACTTATTGAAAAGGAAACTTCCTCTTGGTTTGGCAAGAAATTAGCCTTATTAATGAATTAACTGCTAATCAGTACAAACAGCAATAAAATATGTAATGAAAGACACATTTGTGATTTTCGGCACCGAAAAGTTTTTTCACAATCTGTCATTCACTCAGTTCCGCAGCCGATAGTTGATTATTCACTTAATTCCGCATCACTAGTCATTCACTCAATTCCGCACTATTCACTCATTTCCGCACTCGACAGCCAATCATTGACTTAACTATTTCGACATATTTCTACATTGTAAAAATATTTCTAAAGATAACTAAAGACTCTAAAAAAGAAACAAAGGACTTTGGAAAAAGTCTTTAATTTTCTTCTTAAATATACTTATAATTGCACCAAAGATTTGTAAGGATCAAGAGCGAGACAACAGAATTACGAAAGTCTGATAACAATTTGTTGACAACAATATAGTTGATATGACATTATATATATGTGATTAACATGTGTGATATGATAATCATTATCACAAATAATATGATAATCACAATGAAACAGCAGGAAGTGTTTTAATAAAATTAGACGTGAATTAAACACTATCCATATATGTATAATACAAAAAGGTAAGTTTGTGTGCAAAAATAAGTTAGTACAATTGCAGGAAATATTCGCAGAAACATAATTAAGGATAACAGAACAAGAAATATGACTTCTCATCAAAAAACAATTTATTTGCGATATGGAAAATTCTCACAAATGTTTAAGCCGAGATTTAACTCATTTCAAGGCACCAAAAATAAATCAATTATTCATTTTAAATTCGAATATCTAAAATACAAACTCAACAATAAAATTATACTGTGTTTATCAGAGATAGTGACCTGGCTGGTGTTTACGAATCATTTGCTGTGGAACAGGGTGATAATGAAAAATTACTGTCCACAGCAGACATCATCCAAAAAAAATCGAATTTAAATCTAAAACTTCGGGATGACCACACCTTATTAGTTAGTAAGTTAGTTATAGTGAGTTTAAATCAGGTATAAAAATAGTAATAAAAACGACTCCAAAATGATTTTCGATTTTCTCTTGAGATGAAGAAGATTTGTCTGAAAGATATTAAACGAAGTTTTTGATTTTCTTTTATTTGATACCTTTAGACAAATTTTTTTCATTTCTCTTATAGTCCTTCTAATAAATTATGCACAATTATCTGAGATATATTCTAATTATTGACAAACATATTACATCAAAAAGTTATGCATCAACCAAACATAATTACCACTCACTTCTGAAATAAGTTTGGTGAGAATAACCCAGCATTTATGCTTGCATTTGATAAAATTAAAATCTGATTTCTGGGGCTTGATCTTAAAATCATAATAAAACTTACCCTTTGTTAGTCCACTCTTGTGACTTGCGACGTAATTGATTATGATAGACTTGTATGTATAATTTTTAATATTCTCAAGATTAAAATTATTTTTAAACATTTTTGAAATTCAACCTACCATAAAAATAACATTAATTATGAGTTTTAGAGAGAAAAAGGAAATTTATTTCTGATAACATAAAACTATAAATTATACCGCTTTTAGTCAAATGATGACACTGGTGACATTGTTGAAAGATTCTTTTACCACGCTTAAATATCTTAAACATTATCGAAGTCCTTCTTGACCATTTCGTTCCAACTATTACTCATATCGTCCATATCGTATTCCTTTAATTAAAATATATAAAAACTCTTCCTATGTATTACCGTTTTTAACCTTCAAATGAAATTTTAAATTTGGAAAATTACTGTACCTTGTTAACATGGTGCAGTTCAACTTTTTACCTTAGCTTTGATGCTTTTTAATTCTGTCCATATAATGTCTAAATTCTTGCAGAAATGTTTCACTTCATCTATATCTTGTTTCAGTTTTTCAATTAACAAGTCTTTACCTGGACAAGAACGTTTCTCGTTTATAGTCTTTAGATGTTTTTGATTTTAGTTTTATTCTCCTAACTTCTTGAATTTCCTCTAACCCGAAAGTCTTCACGTTGAAATGTCTTCATGTTAAAAAGTCTTCATGTTGGCTGAATCTCAGAATTGAGTAAAAATTTACCGCATCGAAGCAATTTGTTATTCCACAATTGCTCCAATATTTTCCCAATAAGCTTTTGTGCATTTCTTTTGAATATCGCCGATTTTAATGAATTTTTATGAATCAGTGAACTCAGTAATATTCAGAAGAATCCAATCCATTAGCTGCTACTCTTCAATTACCTATCTTTCATCTTCAACCTTCTCTATACCTATGCCAGTACGATGCTGAAATGTAGCAAATTTTCGAAAATGATATAATTGGTAATGGTAAAACAAAAAGAGTTTCGATACCTTTTCATTTCACTCTTTGGATAGTTATCAAAAAAATAAATCACTTAAAACTGATTTGTTATCAAAGCTAGTGATAAATCTTGACCGATGGCTTCTTCAACAATTTTTTTAATATTTTTAAAATTTTTGTTGTTGAATAGAAAAGTAATGAATTTTGGTTTCAGTTGCAAAAGAAGCCATAGCCAAATTCAAAATGCTATAGCCAAATTCAAGAAGCCGTAGCTAAGTTCACAGCTGAGATTTTGCAGTAAGCAATTTTAATTAACATCTAACATAGCTTTGATTTAGTGCAAAATCAAATTCAAATTTTAACTTCCGCATATAGATATATATCTACTTCGAAATAAATTTAAAGTTGATTTCAGTCAATCCTCCGTAAATTATCTTTTATGGAATGATTGGTGTGAATCATTGATTTTCAAATGTAAAATGATTCACTCATTGAAAAGCAAAAAAAAAAAATATTCAAAATTTCTCATAGCAATAAACTGTCCGTTACAAACAAGTTACATCTACAATCGATTGATTACAAACTTTACCTCAATACATAGGTAATTATGTGTATGCTCTTTTTGAGTCTCCACATCTCCATTTCATATTCACATTTGTATATCTTAATGAAGTGAACAAATACGAAATTAATTGAATTGACCGAAATTCCCGGGAAGTATTAATAAGAACGTATTGATTTTATCCATGATTTTCCTTATGAAATCTTGTTGAAAATCTATTTCGAATAAGAAAAAAAGAAAAAGAAACGGAGAAACTTCTGTAAATGTATGCTTAGAAATAGTTGTTAAAAATGATAATAGAAACGTCAGGAATTAATTAATTACAATGAATTATAATTAGACAATAGGAAGGATAATAAGATATGAAGCACCAGTTGTCTTTAATTGTTTCTTGAATTAATATGATTATCACAATAATAAAGACAACGTTGATAAGATTTTGTGAGCCAATTTACTTACTTGCACAAATGAATCAGTATTTATGATAAGGCTAAAAATTTTGTAATTTACTGCTTTACAAATTTAGATTTCTAATTCATAAATGGAATTTATGTACGTTAACAGTTATCATTATCAAATTATATCAGCTAGCATATCTCTTTCAAACAGCGGACAAATTATTTCGATAGAAATAATCTGATTTACAGATCCAGTTCATTTATGTATTATGTATTATCTGACTCATCGAATTAAATTGATCTATAAAATGAAATTCAAAATATCATGGAAAAAACTGGCATATGTTACATTATATGGAAACCATTAAAGTAAAATACTTAGACGAAGTCCACAGGTGATAAAACTGATGATAATAAGGTGATATGAAAGGCAGCCTAAAAAACGTTGAAGAAATGATAAGAATGGCGAGAATGAATACTGGAGCCTAGGTAATATTCTAAAAAGCCGCGAAAATGGTCAAGGAGAAACTCCTAGAACCCGCTGATATAGTAGAAGATGGAGTCAACGAAAGTTGTCAACGAGAATCGTTTGGGAATCTACCGACATAGTTCAAACAGAGGGGAGATGAGAAAATTAGATTTTTGTGAATTTTTTGGAATCTTTTGAAAGTTTGTGTAATTTCATCATTCCCAAACTTATTGCAAACTTTTCCATTTCATATTTTACATCCTTCTTTTGGAAATTGATAGCAATTCAAACCTGACCTGATATTTCCTATTATTTGTGAACTTAATATCTTATTTCTTTGATTCATTTGACATAGTTTAGGACCGAATTAATGTTTTTAATCAGAAATCAAATGGATAAAATGCAGGATTCAATATTGACTGACATATCCTGATGCAAGGATCTCAAAAGACTGCTGATCGGAAGTGTCATTTACTGCTTCCGTTGATGAGCTAAAAATAAACCCAATGAAATAGCTATGAAATGGAAGGTCCACAATTTTTATACGGCACCTCGAAATGAAACCACGACCGGAATCTGTACGACACATATTATTAGGATATATTTTATTATGGAACAAGAATTTATGTTATATTGTCGATCCGGACATTTGTGATCAGCCGTATTTCCTGTTCCATCACCCGAATCTGCCTAAACCACTTTGCATGTTTTTTACAGAAATCAGTAAAGGCTAGTAAATATTGAATTTTCCAATGTAAAGCTGTTCATCTGTTATTCCGACAATGGCATTTCTACTGGTTAATCAGTCTAATTAATCAGATAATTACATGTCAAAGGTCAGCATTTGAAAAAAGACTTACAATAATAGCTATTCAAAGCATTTGGTTATTATTGACTAACATATGACAATGTTTTTTTGATCAACTCAGATCATCTAAATTCTAAAACGAGAAGACAAAATATACATTCTAGAATCTGGAATATGTATTTAACATCGCTGTAGTTTTGTTTGTTTCTACATATATGTTATATGTTAAAAGTATATTTTAAATTTTGAAATTAATTCAAAGTGAGGCCAAATTGTTAAACTGTGATTTAAAATTTATCAAAAACAAATTAGGAATAGATATATCATTCATTCTACTGAGCTGTTAATTCAGAAAACCTGGAGATTGAACAAGTTTATTTTGAAGAGGAAAAAATTAGCCAACACCAGAAACTAGTCGTATGCATTAGAAACTACCCGCTTTCCGGAGGATATAAGTGGCATTACTGCTGCTTATGATTACCGGAATACTTTGACAGTTCATGCATATCTGGTTCCATTTAGACAGATTATTCAGGCTTCGTGATATTTCTGCAATGAACACGGTTACTTGTGGATTTTTCTCTTAAGCATGCAATCAAATGAGAATGATTAATTTAATAATTTGAAATATACTTTTAACATATAACATATATGTAGAAACGAACAAAACTGCAGCGATGTTAAATACATATTCCAGATTCTAGAATGTATATTTTGTCTTCTCGTTTTAGAATTTAGATGATCTGAGTTGATCAAAAAAACATTGTCATATGTTAGTCAATAATAATCAAACGCTTTAAATAGCTGTCATTATAAATGTTTTTTCAAATGCTGACCTTTGGCATGCAATTAAATTTCATATGTGGTCATTTTTGACTTGGGAAGGATGAAATATCATACATATGACACAAAAAGAGGATACGTTATCTATTGAAAACTGTATCAAGATTTGCTAGGATCTTGCTGTATTCTCAATTACAAATTTAATTTTATTATTAGTTTTTCACTCAGCAATTAAAAACGTTATTCATTTGAAGTTTTTTGTTTAGGGCGGCAGAATGGATGATACTATCGAGACTGCCATATCTATTTGGGCAACATTATTGGTATCCGGATTATCAGGTGGTTTCAACAACCTGTTCCTGAATCTTCTATCCTAAATCAGACCAGTTAACCTTTCTCAATCATCTTCATTTTGAAAGCTAATTTTGTTAATTGCTTAATATTTGATGTAATTTCTTGCGTGCATAATGTTCAGTAATTTTCATCGTTACATCATATACAGATCATAAAGATTGTATTTGAATGTTAAATTTCTTCTTACAGGTTACTAAAGCTAATGCAGCAATGCGGAAATAGGATGAACATCCGGTTGCTCGTACATCTGTTTTTTTTCGTTTTCGGAATAAAAAGTATTGCAAACAAAAATTGATATTGCTGTCAATTCTGAATTAGTTCTAACTGATGTGCATGATTTAGCTTTGTGTCTCTCTTTGTATCACCATTTCAGTGTTGATATATTTTAAAAAATAAAAACACGACTGGGGACAATAATTAGAGATATGGATGAATCTAAAAGATAGTTATGTGTTAAGGAAAATATTTCGAATTGTAATGAATCTTTACTTTATCAATGATGCAACTTTTTATAAAATAGCTTATTACAAATTTCTATAATATCTAATCTTGTGCATTATCTTCTATAATATCTAATCTTCTGCTAATAATCATTCTATAATATCTAATCTTCTGCATAATCTTCTGCATTATCTCTATAATATCTAATCTTCTGCATTATTTAACACTGTTCTACCAAATTCATTGTTCAGATAGATTGTTTGTATTGCATAGTTTATCCATGAAATTTTAATATGCTTATTAAATAGTTGGTAATCATTCGTACGGCTTCCTTTAATACCGGAAATGGCATCATTTTGTTAATTCCCAAAAGCACAAATGTTTCGGATTCATGATAAGTTATTCCTTTCATTTACTTATCATTCACTTAATTTTTTAGCATAAAATTTTTCGTTTTAGATGCTAATTGGAAGATTTGGCTTCTGACCATTGGGCTGAAAAAGAGCTAGAAAATTGGACTACTTATTTTGTGACTACAAAATGTTAAAATTAGTGTGAGACCAATTTTTTTCCCATTTTTTACTTTTCTTACCTGGATACTGTAAAATGAACAAATGCTGAACGCAACGTTTAGAACCAGGCATTCTTTTGTTCTGATTAAAAACCACAAAGGATACCTCGTCTCTCGTTTTCTTTTCTTTTCTTTTTTTTTTATTGGAGATTGAATTTATCATTTGCCCATCTCACAGTATCCAGGTTATCCTTTGTTCACAATCAGCCTTAATTACCATAGAACTATCACAAAACTTACCTGAAAGAATTCACCGTAAAACACCAGAATTTTATTTATCACACAATGTCACATACCCGGTAATTGGGTATTGTTTCAGTATAAGAATTTAAATTATTATTA